AAAAATTTTATTAATTACACTTTATTCACTTTGTATCCCCCCCCCCCCGTGGTTCCCTCCCTCCTCCCGTCCCAACCCTCCCTTCCTCCACCCTCTGCCTGCATGCCCCTCCCCAGGTCCACTAATAGGGGAAGTCTTCTTTTCCTTCCTTCTGATCCTAGTCAATTAGGTCTCATCAGGAGTGGCTCCATTGTCTTCTTCTGTGGCCTGGTAATACTGCTTCCTCCTCAGGGAGAGGTAATTAAAGGGCAGGAACCCTCCTCCACTGCTGGTGGGAATGTAAACTGGTACAACCACTCTGGAAAGCAATCTGGCACTTCCTCAGACAACTAGGAATAGCACTTCCTCAAGATCCAGCTATACCACTCCTAGGCATATACCCAAAAGAGGCTCAAGTACACAATAAGGACATTTGCTTAACCATGTTTGTAGCAGCCTTATTTGTAATAACCAGAAGCTGGAAACGGCCCAGATGTCCCTCAGTGGAGGAATAGATGCACAAATTATGGTATATCTACACAATGGAATATTACTCAGCAATAAAAAACAAGGAAATCATGAAATTTGCAGGTAAATGGTGGGATCTGGAAAAGATCATCCTGGCTAAGCTATCCCAGAAGCAAAAAGACACACACGGTATATACTCACTCATATAGACATATAATATAGGATAAACCTACTAAAATCTGTACATCTAAAGAAACTAATCAAGAGGGAGGACTCTGGCTAAAATGCTCAATTCCTATTCAGAAAGGCAAAGAGGATGGGCATCAGAAGGAGAAAAGAGGGAACAAGTCAGGAGCCTGACACAGAGGAACTCTGAAAGTCTCTGCCCTGCAGACTATCAATGCAGATGCTGAGACTCATGGGCAACATTTGGGCACAGTGCAGGGAATCTTAGGAAAGAAGTGGGAAACAGTAAGATCTGGAGAGGACAGGAACTCCACAAGGAGAGTAACAGAACCAAAAAATCTGAGCACAGGGGTCTTTCCTGAGACTGATACTCCATCCAAGGACTATACACGGAGATAACCTAAGACCCCTGCACAGATGTAGCCTATGGCAGTTCAGTATCCAAGTGGGTTCCATTGTAATAGGAACAGGGAGTGTCTCTGACATGAATTGATTGGCCTGCTATTTAATCAGAAAACTGTTTTAGCCCAGGCATGGTGGTACACGATTATAACCCCAACACGTGTGAGGTAGAGATAGGAGGAGCTCAGGCTTGTCCTCTGGAGAACTAGAGGCTGGCCTAGGCCACAAATAACCATGTCTCAAATGATGATGATGATTCAAAACTGGGTGGTGAAAATGACTTGCATACATGAGGCCTGAAGTTGGCTTCACTTTCCAACACTAAGGACAAAAATTAAAGTGTGATAGCCTAAAGGACATCTGTCTCCTTAAATGCCCTGGGGCTAGTTCAGGGGTGAACACTGAAGAAGGAAACAACTGTGTATAGCAAGGACATAACCAACAAAATCCACCATCTACTTATGTCTTTCTCCCCTGGTCCCTTTGGCCTTTACTTATTGCCCATGTTCCTGTCTCTCTTACAGGCTGTGTAACCATCTGGGGATACCCTGGGTATGGCAGGATAATAAATCACACGCTTCGTCTTCAGGAAGAAATGTGTAGCTGTTTACTGCAGAAGCAGCAGTGTGTGGAACACATAACAGTGACACTCGCTAAGCACATGCTTCCCGTTTATGAACGGATCCATATAATCTCTGTTGTAGTCCATCGACAACAGAATCCCTTCAAAGAAGCGAAACACGTCTCCCTGGCTTAAGAAAAACTAAGGCCTTCACTTGCAGGGTAGAGCAAAAAGGATTTAGCCACGCCAAACACCAAGACAGCACATATAAAAGTCCTTCTTTATGCTATCAAAGAACCCACTTGCACTCTCGTTCTTTTGTTTTTTCAAGACAGGATTTGTCTGTGTAGCCATGGTTGTCCTGGACTCACTTTGTAGACCAGGCTGGCCTTGAACTCACAGAGATCCACTTGCTGCCTCCCAGAATGCTGACATTACAGGCACGTACCACCATACCTAGCCCCAAACCTAGATGTGCCTAGCTTGGTTGACTGGGTGAGGTTAGAGGGAGGAAACGCACCTGTACTCCATATCTTCACAGCCTCTCCACTGTCATCTTCTGACCCACATTGTACCTGTCAGGTTCCAGCTATCTCCACTACACTAGGAGTTTTGTGGGAATGCGGAATGAGTACTGTCAGGATCTGGAATGGTGTCAAGAGAGCCCCTGAAAAGCAAGAGTTCTCCTCTGGATCCCAGATTACCCACAAACCACACTAAAACACCTGTTTTCACAGAGAAATTCTTTATCAGGCAGGGAAGAACAAGTTAAAGTGGCTGCTTTCCAACTCAGGCAGAAAAACAGCAGCCAATGACCTTGCAGGTGTAATTTTTAAGAAGGGAAAAAAGGGGAGGTCTGTGTTGGAATTGGCTTGGATGCAGTGATATATTTTGAGTGGGCGTGTTTATCAGGTGAACCACAGGGGGCTTTCGATTGTTGAACCTTGATAGTCAGCCTTAGGAGAAAGTGGCCAAATAAGAAATCAGATCGTGGGGGCTAGCTGTAGGAATGTAATCTAGTGGTTTTGTTGTTGTTGTTTATCAAGGCAGAGGGAATGTGGGAAGGGCAAGACCTGCCAGAGCCATGACTGCCAGGCCTAGGATGGCTAGAGCCCCTTCAGTGCTGTATAGCCAACATCCAGTATTTGTAACAAGAGTTAACAGAGAACCACAAAAGCCTGAAGATAACTAGAAGAGCAGAGGAAGGGCTGGCCACCTTGGTTTTCAGCTCTGACTAGCCTGACTCCAAGTCCTCCAACTCTTGCCAGCTAAGCAAAGGAGAGAGCAGAGGGTTAGACCAGGTTCCTCTAGGAATACCAGCCCTACGAGCACGTGTGCAGAGTGCTGACTGACCGAGTGACAGCCAGAGCTCACAAATACAAGTAAACATTAGTCTCTCTGCACACAGACATTCTCCCAAGTTTTCCTTCCTTCTTTTCTTAAAATTAATTCATTTTTATATTAGTCACAGGTTATTTACTTTTATCCCAGCCGTACCCCCTCCCTCCTTCCCTCCCAATCCCATCCTCCCTCCCTCATCTCCTCCCTGCCCCTCTCCAAGTCCACTAACAGGGGAGGACCTCCTCCCCCTCCATCTGACCCTAGCTGATCAAGTCTCTTCAGGACTGGCTGCACTGTCCTCTTCTGTGGCCTCCAAGTTTTGTTTTTTCTAATTTAATGTACTTCTAAACATTCACAGAAGCAATGCCTGTAATCTCAGAACGTGGTGGGACAGTGAGTGAGTTTTAGGCTACCTTGGGATAAATTTAAAAAACAAAACAAAACTTTGTCTCAAAGAAAATTAAATTACTAAAAACAAATAAAAAATTACAAAGGATAAGGGAATTCACACACACACAGAGAGAGAGAGAGAGAGAGAGGAATGTACACACAAGCAAAGGCAACTACTGAAACTACTTAGCTAGAAATTCCTCTCTTATATCTATAGTATTCCCCTTTGGAGAACCAAGACGATGCAACACTCACAACATGGTTTTACCTGTTTGGTGCTTTGTTGTTTTTCTACTATGGCATGGATATCCTTCCTACATATTTTTCATGTATAGTGTATAATTTGTAGTGTGGCGACATTATCTGTTTTACACCCGGACATTTTGATCATTTATCTTACAAAAGAATTCCACGCTGTCCTGATGTGTGAAACTTTGTGCACATGACTGTGTTCACAAAACTAATTTCTAGAAGTACATATCCGGAGCAAGCCTGCATTTTTACCTCAGTTGATGTGTTTGCAGATCTCTACCCTTTTGGTAGGAGACATAGCACAATCCCTGGAAGATGCCAATACTCATAGTGGGGGAAGCAAGTTGAGGGAAGTCTGATGATTAGAGTAAGAGGGAGAAAGCTGGACATGGTGGTGGTGCACACCTGTGATCCCACACTCAGGAGGCAGAGGCAGGCAGATCGCTGTGAGTTCCAGGCCAGCCTGGTCTACAAAGGGAGTCCTGGACAGCCAAGGCTATACAGAGAAACCCTGTCTCGGGGGGGGGGGGGGGGGGGGGAAGATACATTTTTTTTTTTAAATCCAAAATCTCTGAGTTCACAGAGAGTCTGATTCAAAGTGGAATTAGAAATAACAAATTTCAAAACAGCAATTAGCTCACTACTCAGCCAAGCACAGCACTCTACAGGAGACCAGGGGTTCCTATCAATTCATTCAAAATGAGATGCACTGTTTCACCTAAAACTTTACTATTTGCAGTAAATGTTCATTATCACTTGAATGGTACCATCAGCTCTTTCATTTTTACACCGCCATCAAAAATGCAGACATTATTCTTCTCAGTTTCTAGAGGATGAAATGGAAACCCGGAACAAATAAAGTGATTTGCTCTTGAAAACAAAGTTGATAAAACTAGAGATAAGAGCTATTTTGCGGGTTTATAATGTTAAACACCACATTCTTTTGTTGTTGTTGATTTTTTTGACAGGTTCTTACTTTGTAGTCCAGGGTGGCCTTAAACTCACATGAAATTTCTAACTGTTGTGCTTAAATTTTAATGAGATGACTATATTATAAGAGACCTACTCCATTTAACCTGGAAGGAAACAAACAAACTGGGGCACTGCTTATGAACAAGCATATTTACATTCTTGAGGAGAAACCTGAAGCAACCTCAAAATTCCATTTATTTGATTTGAGGAAAGTAAATACTGACACTTGGCCTTACATTTAATGACATTAGTCTGGCAAATGAGTCATATTTTAGCAACAATATTAAAAGGAGGAAAAGAATAGCAGTAGGTTAAGTAAAACTTGGAGGATCTCTCTTAAACCCGGATGAACACCTAACCTATGTTTAATACCAATTCACTTCAGCTAAGGACAACTGAAGGGCAGAGCCAGCATTAAGAGCATCAATGATGAAAACTCAAACATGCATAGGGAGATTAAAGTTATTTTATTAAATCATGCACATCACGTGTGTTAGTGCAAATAGTTTAATCTGTACTCCAGAAATTCTATTGTACGTTTTATCTTTACAAAATAGATTTCAAACAATTATTTACTTTAAAAAAGGTAATTTTGAAGTTATGCATTTCAGAACAGTATTTGCAATAACTATATACAAGAGGTACTGGGTACCACTGGCATATTAGCATTCTGTGGTGGAGTGGCTTCCTGCAACAGAGATGGTAAAATGAACTATATGACAGTATTTTCTATAAGTCTTTTGTGGCTATTTCCTCCATATATCTAGTGATTCTCCCGGCAACAATCCCAAATAGCTTTAAATACAATTTTTAAAATAAAAACAATGACTGCCAAACATCACAAGGCAAATTATATCATAAACTCCTATCTCAATAGCTGGCTAGAGCTGGGTATTCTCATAGAACATTCAAGCCAATTCACTGACATTCCCCCCAGTCTTCACTGACTGAAGAAAATTTAACTGTGTGATACTTTAGGATGCTGACATCACTATGGTGCTGTACAAAACCATAGCTAAATTTTAACCTGTGTCTTAATGTATATGTCAAGCAGTGCTTAGGTGTGTCACTGTGCATGGAACACTACCAATCTCGGGAATGGTGCTACTACTTAAGAGGCCGTTCCAATTAACAGTAAAAAGAGAATAACCATTTGTATACCTAACCAAGAAATCTGCTGGTAGGTAACATCAGCTCACCTTGAATGTGAATTAGCTCCACATCATAACCAAATGAAGTCAATAAAAGCTTATCTAAACAGATATAATTCTTCCTTCAATTAAACATGCTTGGAGGAACAGATGACAGAAAAAAAAAATCATGCTTTCTAAACTGCTGTATATGAGAAGGTAACTTGGCTTTTAAAGAAAACATTTCTTAAATACATGAGGTTTAGTAAATTACATTTCAATTCACTCAACAGTTTGGTTGATTGCACTGAAATTATGCAGTTATGCTTTTGCTCCCAGAAATATGTTTGCTCAAGAAAATACAAACTCTCATGGAAAGTTTTTCAAAGCTGATGTCCTTCACATCTTCAAGTCACATTAAGGCTGAACAAAAATGTATGTATCCCCCAAATTATCATTAGAAGTGAATATTTTCCAAATGTTTTTTCCTTAAAAAAAATCCACACAAATAATTGTCTAAGTCTTGTTCCCAATAGCTCAGTGGTTTTATAACAAGTAAAAATGGCGTAAATATGTAAAAAATATATATATATATGTGTGTGTGTGTATATATTCAAACTGATAGGCACTGAGCACACAGGGCCTCTCTTCCCATGTATGTATGGGTTGTTCGGTTTGAGTACTTACCGAATCAGAAAAATGAACTATGTGGCCATCAGAATTCAGAGTAAAATATCTATAAATTTATGGTATAAATAATTTGGTGCACTAGGAAGCCTACTTTAGGCCGCCATAATAATTCAGAATCTCAACATACTAATTTAAAAATTAAATGTAAAACCGAATAAATTCACAACTTTATATCCTCTCTATAGACAGATATATTTTATATAAGTTAAAGCAATGACCCTACAGCTGTATTCTTGCACTTTGCTGTTTTAAGAGGTAAAAAGGAAGAAAATGGTTCTGCTCGTCCCCAGCATGAGAGTGATGCCAGCTTCTAGAGGGAGGACGGTGTACAGACTCAAGACACACTGTCATGGAGAAGCTCTGGCCAGACCTGGCACATACAGCACAATAGCTGTCACTGCAACCAGGGCCGCCAACATGGGCATCCAGGGCCAGGGTTTCTGTGTGGAAAGAAACCAAGAGTCAATATCACATTCTCCCCTCTCTTTCCAGACATAGTTAACCCTCTGGTGAACTGAGCCCCACATACTTAAAAGACCACTGCAAAACTTCTGTGTTTGCATTGTAAAGGTAAGTGTAGAAAGGACAACAGGGAGGAAACACGCTGGCAGGACCATTATGTGGAAGCCTGAACACCCCAGGGAAGCCCTGGACAGCTTGTTATAGTCGAAACTTAGTAGTTACTCCTAAGTGTATCCCTGGGCTGTGCTGCTGCATTTACTGTGCTATCTAAAGATTTCAGCAGAACTCATAACTATAGCACACTTCTGCTGAAAAGTTTATTTGTTTTTATGAAATTCAGAGTTCCAAGATGGGATAGAAAGAAAAAAGGCCCAGGCTTGACCCTGTAACTTGAAACCAAAGAAGACGCAAATCAGATGAGTTAAGAGGAAAGGAGGCACTAAGAGCCTGCATAGATGGGCTCCCAGTCAGCTTTCAGGGGTTCATAATACCCACTTTACTTAGTTACTACCTTTATTCTTACTGGTATTCTCAAAGTATTCTTGATTAATTCTGATTTGCAGATCACAGCTCAAAAAGATTTGTTATAAAGTTTACTTATATTCTCAAGTAAATTCTCACTGGTGTTGAAATTGTAAGCCAATGGTTCAATACACTAATTGCATTTTCTTTCATCTTCACAGAAAACAGGCAAAGGATTAAAGGAGGAAAAAAAAAAAACTACACCATGGAAGGGAAGAAAAGAAGGGTAACACAGCTAGCTGAAGACTTCAAAGATGCAAACTCTTCATTTCTCATTCAAATCTTATTGAACACATAACTGGGGCATGGATGGTGATACTGCAGAAATTCACTGCTTACTCCAGTTTGCTAGAGATAAAACTCAGTTAAAGGAAGCATATTAACAATGGTTAGCTTGAGGTTAATTTATGGTTAGCATTACTACAAAAGAAACACAACACAATGTTATGTGACGAGTTGATTGCTCATTAGTGTGACACAAACACACAGCATACTAAATGAAGGGTTTGCTTCAGGTAACAAATACCTGTGTGGTTTTGCCATGCACTCTATTACAAATATGGCACAAACAGGTGACAGGGACAAACAGACAAGGACTCAACAGTAGTGCTTGTACCTTTCTCTACCACAATGGACCGAAACACCAAAACAGGAAAGCCAGGAATAGGCCGATGAATACGGCTGGGACAGGTTGTAATATGGAGGGCTGAAGAAGGGAAGGTATATTAAAATCATTTTATGCTATGAAAAAAAAATCTGCTAAGATGATTCAGACCCCAGAGGGTAGTTGGAGAAGAAGGAAAGGTAAGCTGAGGTAACAGAAGTACACCATTTAGGTTTTACACCAATTCAAACACTTTAAGGACATCTAACACAATTTAGAATGATGGGCTGTGACGTGTATCCTAAAAAACTACTATTTTAAAAGGAAACGGTTGGCGGCAATAGTCAATGTGCTTGCCCCCAAATATCCTGATGAAACAAGTCCAGACAGAGCAATGATGAGCTTATCACATGATGCTCTGTTTGACAATATATCTTTTGTTTCATATTTGAAGTCCACTAGTTGATAAATGTGTTTCCATGGTAACAGATAGGTTATATCTTATTTCATCAAAACCCATTTACCTTCTAAGCAAAATTCTTTCACTTTTGAGACAGTAATGCTTTAAAATTAAAAAATATATCTTCTGTGATAATGTCAACTTGATGAGGCAAGAGACATGGCACAATATAGGATAAATAGGCAGCCAAAACACACGAATTTCCTTTATTCTAAACATTATTGATTTTAAAGAGAAAAGGAATTACTTGAAAATATAAGCCTATATGGCAAAAAAGGGAAATTCATCCTGAAGGTGAATAGTTTTATACAACTATAAGGAGTAACAGAATGGGGAGGGCCACTCTGATCACGCAAGACGTCTTTCTGGGTTGATTTAGCAGGAAGTGGACTGAAATTCTATAATCAGATATGAATTAACACAGAAGATATCAAACATCATGATCTGATTTTAGAAGAGTTCTATAATCTATGCATTAAAAAATAAATGCAATCCACTTTTGATTAGCATAAAGCCTTCAACCCTTCAATTTCTAAAGGGCTCCTACCTAAGCAGCAATCCTGGATTATCTAAAACCCACAGCTTTAATAAGCAAAGGACAGCTGGACACAACTCATCAGCACTCTGTGAAAACGACATCACTGGATGCCATGCAACATCACACGTCTGTGCCTCTGCTGCAAGTTAAGGAGCCCCAGGAGGCTCACATCCGCTGCAGTGTCCAAGCCGTGACAGAATTTGGAGTAAGTCTCAGAGCACAACCAACCACACTGAACAGCCATCAGTTAGGGCCCACAAATGGTCACCAAAACAAACAACACGACATTTATTTAGTATAACATTGCCTGAAAGACCTTTCTTTCTAACAAGTGAGAAACAAGTGTTATCAAACTAAGTTTACAGCCAAATATTTTTCCCATTTTTGTGCTTGAGACCTCAAATTCTCTTTCTCTCTCTCAAACACAAATGCTGACAGATACCAAATAAACAGAAAGCTTTTGAGAATGTACATTACTACTATAAAAACATAAAACCATACTGAAGCTCTGCTTTCTGAGACAACTTAATGCTAAGGACCAGCATGTACCAAGTCTCCTAAATGAACCCCTGTGGTTGGTACAGGCTTCATTTCCCAGCAGGAAAGAAACAAAAGCCCCATAATGACTTATTGACAGAATGCCAGACTCATCTGGGCAACCAGATAGCTCTTCTAAGTTGTTTTACTGACAGATGTTTTTCACCAGGCAGGCTTCAAGCTTCAAGCTTTTCTATGGATGTGTGTTAAAGGGGTTAATTCTTACTTAAAAAGAAGAGGAGAAATCCTACATCACAGTGGTTCTATCACAGATATTCACAATGAAAAGCTTATTTCTCAGATATCCCGGATGTTAGTCTTCTGAAAAACATCCTCAAACCTCTGACACCCCTCTCAAAAGCAGCTAGACGAGTAGGTGGACACTTACATTATTTCCTTTCTCTCGCAGCAGCTTCAGGTTGTCTTTACATTGTTTGAGCTCATCTGTGATGGATTGCTTTTCCTGCTCAGTCATTTCAAACTTCAACTTCAGTTCTGAGAGTACGGTCTGTGTCTTTTCATACTAAAGATAAAGAAAAAGAGAGTGTGCAGACTTGATTTAAGATGGGTATGAAGCTATGGTTTTATCAGGTATATACTGGGCCCTGTTTCATAACTTTAACACCAAAGCCAAGTCTTTCCAGGCACTCATATAAACAAACCTTTAATATTGACTTAATCCTATGTAATGACTTTCTTGCCCTGGTGTTAAAATCAAGGAACAAAACATATCTTGCTGCCATCTGTTTATAATATAAAGGGTCACTCTTCCATGAAGTGAGAAGAGGAAATATTGAAATTTCTTTTCTTTGAGCAAAAGAAAGCCAGGCAGAAACAAATCCTATAGCCTAACTAAATGGTGATGTTAGGTCTACATGTATTTTCTGGTAATTAAAAGTAAGCCTTGTTAGGCAAGTTATTTACTCTTGAAATAAAGAGCATTAACTTTCAGTAGATCTTCCGTTATTCAGCACTAGTGGATATCATCAGTGTGCTATCACTGAATTTTCTAGGCAAATGAGACAAAGAAATGCGCCTGACATATCATAAAGACTGGGGGATTTGACACTTAAAATCTATCAGCACCAATGTAAAAAACTTCTAAAAATCTATTTCTAAAAGAAAAGTTTCCATAAAGGAACAAGCCATTTTCTACTCTTGAAAACTGTGTGTGTGTGTATAATATATAGACATAACATAAATAATGTACGACTTTCTTACGAACTATCCTTCTATCCTTGAACACAGATCAAAGAAAAGCAATACAGTATGGTTTGATCTCTTTAACATATCCAAGAAGCTGTAATTCTAGATTAATCTCGTGTCCAGTACTGCAGCTTACTGAAGCCTAGGCACCCAAAGGGACACTGTTTTGCTGCTGGGCGTTTGTGTGTCTCCACTTCTGCTGCTCCATTCTGCATTTCTGAGTGTTTCAGAAGGAAGACAGGAAGACAAAGACTGAACAGAAAACAAATATACCATGAGTGTAGTCTGTCAGAAAGGCTCCTCCTCTTCTCTCAACATGGCTTAGGAGAATGGAAGGTTCCTAGTTCTTTTCTACCTATATCCTAAACTTAACAAAGGACTCCTTTATAATAGTACTCTTGAAATAAAAACACCTTGAAGTGGAGAAGACCTCCTCAATACTCAATAATGACAAATATTAAGAAAGATGGAAATGTGCAAATAACACTAGAACAGAGGAGATAGGGAAGAGGTCAGGGTCAGCATAAAGCTCACTAGGAAGGAAAAGAAAAATATGAAAGAAATGTTTTGTTACCTAAGAACATTCCCAGAACTGTCCTGGACAATACTCTAAAAAATGAACTAAAGACTAAAATCCATGGGTTTTTCCAGTTGATGTGAGGGTCTGTGAACTTCCCCAGAAGGTAGAAAGCTCCTAGGAGGCTGCCAAGAAAAGTCAGTGATACTAATTTTTGCACCATTGAATACAATCAGTTCTCAGTAGTCATGAAATAGTTCCGAACAGCACTAATAAAGTTAGGTCAAAAGTGCCTTGTTAACCAAACTTTCCCTCTCCTTTCCTTTCCCACAGTTCTCACATGCAGACTGCCCTCTACATCAGAACGCTTAACCACCTCTGTCCCAGGGACTGTGGAGCAGAACCACAAGAAAGCAGCGCTGTCTTGGGGACACTGCTGCATGTCCCCAGCACAGGGGTGTCTGGGGAGGACTCTGGCCTACCAGAAGACAGGGAAGCCAAACACCAATCCTGAGTCAGACTTTTTAGAGTGGACTTAGATGTTCAAATGTTTCATTTCTCTGGTTGGTATGTTTCTCTGAGACAGAATCTATGTAGCCTAAGTTGGCACCAATTCAAGACCTATCTCTCTCGGCTTCCTAAGTGTGGAGATTGCAAGTACATGCCACAGACTGGTTGAACTCTTGGATCACAGATATTCTCACTAAATTAAAATACACAAACCTTTATAAAATTAAATATAAAGATGACATACAATTTTTTTCTTACTATTGAGCATTAAAATTTGTTTTCCATACTTTTTCTTTGGACTTATTTATATAAAAATTACCACAGATGAAGCTTTAACCAGCAGAACAAAGGTCACCCTCTGCAGCCTTAGCTTTACACCTTGCTTGGATGTCACTTCTGTTCCCTCTTAACTTAGAAGTTAACGAGTGAGTTCGGTCTTAAGAGAGAAATATCACATAATATTACCAACACCTGTGGCTGTTCTTCATAAAAATAATCATATCTCAGCTTGCTCAGCTTGCAATATAGTTTGACCTGTTACAGTACTCAAGATACATATTAAGGATTTTGAGCACAAGAAGCATGATTCCGTGAGGAAAAGGAGAGCAAAGGGAAGTGTTGAAAGAAAGTAAATATGCATTATTGAAAAGTAATAATGTATTTGCAGTGGATTACACAGAGATAAAAACCTTATTAAAACTGTTTTACTTACAGACTAGTATCCAATGCATTGACAGAAGGACAAACAGAGCAATTTCACATTACAAAGGAATATGATGACCATACATTATTTCACAAGGAAAAAACATTGAACAAGAAAATAGGAAAGAAACATACCGACAAGCTCAGACATATTTTTAAATATGCTGCATTTAATGCAATCCAAAACCAGCAACAGTTTAGATGCTGTGACAGCAGGCCACTGCCATTTGTGGGAACAATTAAAGCATTTGGCACTGATTATTCAGTGACTAAAAGCAGACAAACAAATAATGCAACAAAATGGCTAATGTATTCATAATAACATAGGACAGAATCATCTTCCAACCACAAATTCTTCCCAAATACTGAAAGAATTATGGCACATGGACTGGAAGGGTACAAAGTGCTTACAGTATTAAAGATTAGAGTATTTACTTTGGCACAAAATTTGGGTTTCACCGATATGAGGATTTTCCTAAAATATACATCCTTAATCAGGTAAAGCAGAACATTTCTAAATCAATGTATCTACACAAATATAAAAACTGTTGCAGTTTTTTTTCCCCCTTTAGAAACAAGCACAAAGATAGAAGAACAATAATCATTCCCAAATTCAGGACACTGAAGGAGAAGTGCAAAGAGAAACTTGCATTAATCAAATTTTCTAAAATCAACTTTCAGAAAATTCATTTCTAAAGACACAGAGATGTCTTCTGTTTCCTTCTAACTTATGAGGAATCTTGCCTGTAAGCAAGTCTATACTGGTGGTTCCTTATAAGCAGACAGGCTAACAATCTGTATGTTGAGCTGGCCAGGAATTATTGCAGGAAGGCCAGCAGGAGCTGGCCCCATTGTCAGCTTTAAAGATATGTACCTATTCTGTTCAGAAAGACCTTGGGTAGCTTCCTTCCAGAGTTAATCTCTCACCATCCTTAATACAATTATTCAAAAAGTTAATGAAATGAAGGTATAAGCAAAAATCACATGGAAATTTAAGTGTGTGCATGTGTGAAGACAAAAAGAAAGTAGAGCGGAAAACACAGTTTTACAGAACAGGCAGCTGGCTGCCTTTTTTTGTATAGATGAATTTTAAGTAATGTTTTTTTCTTGTCTGTTTTCAGACATAGGATCTCATATAGCCTAACCCCACCTCAAACTCACTATGTTGCTGAAGCTGACCTTGAACTCCTGATTTTCCTGCTCTGCCTCCCAAGTGCTAGGATTATAGATGTGCATCACCATAACCATCTATATATATGTCTTATTTTGGTGTTTTGAGCTAGGAATCATTCTGTAAGCCAGCCTAGCCTTGAATTCACTGCAGTCCTCCTGCCTCAGTCTTCCACGCGCTGGGATGACAAGCATGAGACATCACATCAGAGTATGGGACCGTTCAGTCACTTTCCCAGCAGCGCATACTTCCGGTACTAGTGTTGCCTAGTCTGCCTTCTGAAAGAACAGTTTGTTAAGTATGACACTCTTTGATAGTTAAACCAACAGACCAAGCATCTGGGACAAAGGGTCTCTTATGTTAGTGAGTTAGAGAAAAATAAAAACTAACTCTTAGATCTGGATGTTTGAAAAGAAACACTTGATAAATTCTCTTGATACAGACCATGACGCACACCTAGAAATGACCAGGTTGGAGTGTTCCAAGTGTCAACTGACAGGTAATATGGTTTCTGCTTTCCTTAAGTTCTAAGTAGCATGGATATCTGATTTGCCTTTGGCTTTAAGTCCAACCATAATTGGGCTCAGAATGTCTTTTCGCTTTACCTCTTTCTGTACATCCTTTGCTTGGTTTTCAGCCTTACTGAGAAGAGTTTTTAAGTCTGCTGAATCCCGAAGGTGTTGTTCTTTCAAGGATCCCACTTGGTTCTCAAGCTCTTTCCTAGTAACCTGAAGGACGCTGAGGTCACTCGTGAGCTCCAAACTCTGCTTCTGAGAACTGCAACATAAACAATGACAGTCACAGCAGACCCTGGACACAGAGGAAGTCCAGAATCCTCAGCACTTCACCAGGTAAGAGCGGATTTCACAGCAGAAAAAGGTATACAGAAAGTAAGATACTTTAGTAAGGAAAAGGCATGAAGACATTAAAAGTCCTTTTAAGTTTTAAGCTATATCCTTTCAAATATAAAAGAAATTTTTATAAATAGAAAAAAAAAAGACTAATTAAATGTGGGGAGTTTTCTTTGCTTTTATTGTTTTCTTGTTCTGAGATAGGGTATGCAGCTTTGGCTGGTCTGTAATTCCCAGACTGGACTTGTACTCACAGAGATCTGCTTGCCTTTGCCTTCCAAATGCTGAGATTAGAGATATGCACCACCATGTTAGGCCCTAACTGTATACTATGGGACATGGAAAAAGTCATGTAACTGGTACACCTTATTCTCTGATTGAACATTTCCTGAGCTCTTAGATGTGTACAGGAGGCATGTTATAATAGCAAGAGGTGCCTCAGTGTCCTCTTCTGTCAAACATTCACCTCAGTGCTGGCTAGTTTTCTGTCAACTTAACACATTCTAGAATCATTTGAGAAGTCTCAGTTGGAAAAAAATGCCCTGTAGGGATAAGGTTATTGGGTATTCAAATGCTGATTTCTACACACCCTGTATTTGGTTGCAATCCTTGTTCCTGAGAATCTCCTGTCTCAATATTGTGTAAACACTGCTCCCAAATTGTTCCCTGGTATGCCAATAAAGTAGCTTACAGCCAATCGCTGAACAGGGAAGGAAATAGGGATGGACTTCCTGTCAGCCAGGGGAGGAGGAGATTAAGCTCAGCAGAGAAGCTGAATCAGGAAAGCTACAAAGCGCAAGTATCTCTGCAATGTATGCAGGGAAGAGGCCAAATTAGCTTAAAGAATTAATAATAGAGTTAATACTGCTCAGGATTGTGCTATGAAGCTTGTTAAAATAACAGGATGGGGTCTCGATTATTTGTGTGAAAGCCAGGTAAGGGAAGAGCTGGGTTAAGAGAGAAACTGAGAAACAAACAGTTTCATAAAAATAAAATAAAACTGTAGCAATGGCCCTTGCTGACCAGCTTGTGGGGTATTTTGATTGATGTGGACGGCCCCAGTCCACTGTGAGTGACGCGACACTGGGAAGAAGCCTTCTGCTGCGCCAGCCGTGAGGAGCCGGCCAGCACGAAGCATCCCTCATCCCCTGACCTTCAGTTCCTTCCTCCAGGTTCCTATCCTGACTTCCTTTAATGATGGTCTGTGACCCAAGACTTGTAAGACACAATAAACTATTTCCTCTCCAAATTGCTTTGGTCATGGTGTTTTATTACAACAGTAGAAACCCTAAGACAATATCTGAAGCTATTTTCCAGCTTTAATTACATTATTTTTATAATTTTCTAATAAAAATAATTTACACATGAGGCAAGTAAGTTGATATGAATGAACACCAGTGCCTTTTTTTCAAAGACTGGGGATGTATCTCAGTGGTAGGGTGTATAGCTAACATGACCAAGACTCTGGGTTCAAAATCCATTATTAAAAATAATAATAGTTCCTAGTTCAATTCTTTGAAAAAGACCTATGTGGCTTAAAGAAAGGTTAGCTCCCACAATCAGTTAAAAGAATCTAAGATTTTGAGAGTTGGAGAGATGGCTCAGCGGTTTAGAGCAGTACTTGCTCTTCCCGAAGACATGTTTATTCTCTGTAGCCACATGGCAGCCCACAGGCGTTTGCAACTCCAGTTCCAAGGAATATGCCGCCCTCTCCTGGCTTCTGCAGGCAGTGTGCGCATGCTGCACATGTTCGCAGGCAACAAAACACCCACACAGAAAACGTTTTTAATGTAAGATTTCCAGAATAACATTGTTCTATCTTTTAGAATGGAACTTAATCAGATTCCACACTATAAATAAAGAACTATAAAGGATATATATCCTATTCTGATTATACAATGGGCATATTCTTAGGGATGAATCTCAGTATCAGGCCATTATACATGGGCACTAAAGGGCCTTTAAGACCTATAAAAGAGAAGCTTAGCAAATAAGTGCTCAGGCAGAAATGTTCAAGAAATAGAATTTATATATATATATATATATATATATATATATATATATATATATATATCATGTAATTCATGTGAGTTTAGACAGGTGACTGGATTCATGATACGTATTGATTCAGTATTCCTTTCTAGAACATATTGTTTTGTTTTGTCTTGGTTATGAGATGAGTATCTCACAAGGGACTCTCCCTCACTTAGTGTCCACATAGCTGATTCTCCAGGCAGTAGCAAATACCCAACTGAAGTCTAACATATTAAGCTATAGGCCCCTACTTACATGGAATCTGTAAACATTATTTTTAACATTTAAGCAAAATTGACATAATTTAAAAGAACAACACTTTAATAATCTGCTACATTTCAATTAATCACTTCTCAAAAATGAGAGATCAGGAGGTTCAGAATCTGGGTGTAGTTGCTAATGCCTATATTCACAGTACTTGGTAGACTGATGCAGACGGGTTAGGAGTTCACGACCAGCCTTGGCTACAAAGCAAGTTCAAGGACAGCCTGGGTTATATGAAACCCTATTTCAAAGTACTAACAAATACACAAACTCAATTTGTTTCCATGTGCTGCCATACAGGTAATCAATACATACACATATATGCATACTGTGGGTCTTTATTTTGTCCTCTTCCTATCTTAAGCTTTGCTTTTACTAAATTCCATGTTTCAAGTAAACATTTGTTTTATTTATTAATTCTCACCACAGATTCAAAAATGTAATATACATAACATACATGAAAATATGGAACAAAGTTATGGCATTAGAAGAGAAAACTCAGGGGCTAGAGAGATGGCTTAGTGGGTAAAAGCTCTAGCTAGTGTTTCAGGAGCCAGGTTTGGTTCCCAGTACCTTACAATTATCTGTAACTCTAGTTCCAAGGAGTAAGTACAGTTCTAAAGAATCCAATGCCCACTATATATGCAGGTTACTCTTACTTACATGCAGGCAAAACACAAATATACACCTAAAGTAAAAATATATAAAATCTTTAAAAATGTGAGAAAATCAAAGTGCTTTGTGGATCCTTATGCTGAGACCTCATGGTATTATGAGAGGCTTTAGAGAATAAAGCAGCAGCTCTTACTCCTCAGGCCTTTCCATACTGAGTTTAAGAGGGGTAAGGAATTGAGATCAGGCTACCCAGACTGTAGACCTAAAAAGGACATGGTATTCCTGGTCCTCCTGCCTCTCACTCTCTTCTAAGTGCAGGGGTTATAGGGCTGTGCCACCTTATAGATTAGTCGCCCCCCTTCTGGGTGTGTGTGTGTGTGTATGTATATGTGCATCAACATGTGCTGTATGAATATTTGTACATGTACAGGTGTGTGCATGTATTGCTTTGTAAGGGAAGGCCAAAATCAATGTCAGATGTCTTCCTGTAGAGACAAGGTCTTACTGAACTTGGAATTCCCTGTTTTGGGTAGATAAACTGGAGCAAGCCACAGGTCCAATCTCAATCTGTAAAAATCTATTGTCCCCTCCTTTACACCAGAAATGGAACCTACAGCCTCAAGTCTTCTATTGTTTGCTACATTCATAGCCTTCTCCTGTGTGATTTATAAGCTAAATTTATGTCTTTTAAAGTAGTAAATTTTGTTAGTCTTAAATCACCATTCTTACTAACAGAGATCAATAGGGTGAAGAAAAACCAGTAATTTTATATGTGAAATATATCATAATTTTGTTAACAAGGCAACTTCAGTTTTGGAACTTTGCTGTTTGTTTTTAGCAGTGGGGAATAGTACAGCAGGAGCATCTAACTGTGTCTGAATTCTAGGGTATTCCAAAAGAAGCAGGCTTATGGGAGATAATAGTAAAAAGAAATGAAATTGTGTAATATTTACTTGCTATGTTTAACTTGTCAAGCAGTTTGGCTGAACATTTTGTTCCAAAATGGCATTTAAATATCAAAATTTACATAAAAATCAAAGATAAATCTCTTGAAGTTGAAAGGAAAATTCTCACATACTTGTGCAATTCTTTTTCTTGCCGCTGCAGTTCTGATGACAACAAAACATTTTCCTTTTTTAGAGAATGGCATTCAGTTTCCAATACATTCCATTCCTTTTTCAACTTCTCTAGTTCACCTAAAAGAGTCACAAACATAGTTGTTAATGCAGAAACCAAAATCCACCACATTCCAAGGTGACAGAGTAACGTTTCAGAAAACACACCTTTTTTCTTAGAAGCACGGGAGTTTTCATAAGGCACTCTTTGACTCCTATCACTTTGCTTTGTAGCTCAGGGACATTCTATCACCTTAAAATTTCAGAATGTTTCTTTTCCTACTCCACTGTTTTTGTTTGTTTGTTAGACAGGAGGTCCCTATGTAGCCCAGGCTGGGAAGGCTCTATGTAAACCAGACTGGCCTCCAACTCAAAGAAAACCATCTGCCTCTACTTCCTGAGTACCAGCACTAAGAGTATGTTCTAGTATGCCTGGCTGCTTTGCTGTTTTAAGATAATAATGTTAATGTTTGCTTGTTTTACACAGGCTCTCTGGATATAATCAGACACGCCTTAAACTCAAAATCCTCTGGCCTGTACCTCCTAGGTGCTGGGATTATGGGTGGGCATCATTGCTATGACACATACTCCTCAATAGCATTATTTAGAATTAATAGTATATGCCTGTAAAAATGCAACTCATTACACAACCTATAGACCTGCAGGAGGTACCTACAGCCCTTGTATAGAAACCCTGGTATACAGTTGCCTTCTAGCAAAGAGAACAATTACTGCTGTCATGAGGTAAGAGCTAGCAGATGTGGGCTGGAACAACACAGTAAGACCAAACCCTCCCTCCTACTCCCTGAAAAGTAAGAGTTACTGAGCTTTATGACTAAGCACACACTCACCTTGCAACCTTGTTGCCTCCTCCCTTTGCTGGTCTTCACATTGCTGACACCTAAGCTGGAAACTGCTCTGCAGACTTGTGATTTCTTGCTCATACTCAGATGCTGCTTTCCTCCAGCTCTCAAGCTCTGCTCTCACCTTCTTATGCTCCTCTTGCAAAGAAGCAAAGTCAGTGTCCCGCTCAGAAGCAGCCTTCGCTGCTGCTTGATGAAGGAGCAAAATCTCATCTTGGGCACTAAGCAATTTATCTCTTGTGCTGGAGATTTCGGAGTCTTTTTCCTCTTGGAGATTCTCCATATCCACATGTAACCTCTGCAGCTGGACTATAAAAGCGTATTTATCTATCATTTTCTAAAATGATAAGTCCATAGCTCTAAGTCCACAGGAATTAGGAACAAAGTTATAACATATTACAGGCCACAGCTATTGGGTAGCCTAGCTGTCACAGCTGTTTCTTTTGATTAAACTGCACAAGCGATCCATGTTTGATACAGAAAATGCCAAAATACAGATACAAAAGGGAAAAACCAAAAAGCCACAGCAAACTTTATTTTCTCCCACAGAGAGATTTATTTTAATATTTTGCTATTTATTCTCCTTGTTTTCCAATGCCTTCCAATGCCTTCAAACATACATAAGACCAAATATTAAATAGAAATGTGTGTGTGTATGTATTTTTCTATCCTCTTGCTGATGAAAATATTTTGGGAGGAGGTGAGACAGGCTAGTTCAAGCTAGTCTCAAATTCATTATGTAGATGAACTGGGTCTCAAAACTCAAACGTCTTCCTTGTCTCTTAAGTGCTAGGATTATAGGCTTGCACCACCGCAGTTAGCATCAGGCCCGCCTTTTCACCTCCAGTGTGCAAAAAGAGGTTACTGAGACAATCCCTCCCCTTCATCTGCTTTAAAGGAAAACTATCCAAGAGCCCAGTATCACCGGGAAGACCCAGAGCCACGACAACTGAAGACTCTCTGCAATCTTACTTTCTATTCCTTTTCAGTCGTTGAACAAGAACAATACCAACATTCATCTCAAACAGTTTTGGGATGCCCCATACCTTGAAGAACCTGTATTTGTTTAGCAGATTCCTCAACTTGATTTCGATAGGCTTTTCGTTCTTCTTCCAAAAGAGCTAAAAAGAAAAAACACAGTGCATCTAATTTTGTGAGTTAATGAAAAGCATTCACAATTTTGCGTAGCTAGAATTTCTAAAATTTGTCTTTTAAATTTTACTGAAAGACACAAAGTTAGGAGATAAGTATTATCAGTATTAGCCATTAAGATTTTAGGAACATAAAACAAAAGTAAGAAATCTACAAAATCTAGTTACAGAATCTACAAAATCTACAAAAATCTAGTTACACTTTATCACCAGGAAGCCTTTCTTATATAGAAATATCCTAATAATTGTTAATCATCATTGAGCAGTGCAATACCACATGTTCAGAATCCCAAATATTGGGAAGGCTAAAGCAAGGAAGCTTCCAAGCTCAAGGCCAGCCTAGGCTATGTTAGATGGCTCTATCTGCAAAAAAAGGAGTTGGGATATGCCTCAGTAGTAGAGTGCTTGCCTTCTATACACAAAGGCCTAGGTATAATCCCTAGAACCATTAAAAAAAGAATGTATTAAGGGGCAGGCATGGTACTGTATACTTTAATCCAAGCACTAAGGTAACAAAGGCATAAAGATCTCAAAAAAGAGTTCAATGACTAGGTAGTGAGAGCCTATCTCAAAAACAAAATCAAAAATTCTCCTCAACCACAAACAAACAAAAACAAATCTTAAAAATGATATATAAAACCAAACCAAAACAAAACACTTCAAAAAAGTTCTTGGGTTTGCTGTCAAGCACATAGTAAGTACAACATAATAGCTGATTACTAAATATTTTTCAATGTAATTAAACATTATCCTGTAGCTTATAAAAGATACAAAATAAATGTTTATTTTTTCATTTTTGCAGTTCTGGGGTTCAAAGCCAGGGTTTCATATAAGCTAGGCTGGCCTTACACTAAGCTATAGCTACCTTGAGCTACAGTGCTAACAGCTCATCACGATAATAATGTCTTTAAGAACAAGGAAAGGAAGTAGTCATAAGAAATTCCCAGATTCTTCTTAGCATTTGAGTATTCTTCTGCTCAGGAAATGTATCTTATAAAACCTAAGGATGCCTTAAAAATCCATGGGCTAGATGTGTCTTCATTAGGTGCCGACCTCTGACATAATGAGCAACAAGCCTTATGACTTTAAGTGAAGTGGATGACAAAAAATAAACTGTCAGCCATCCCTGTCTCAGCATTCTGTGACTCAGTTTAAACTACAGTTTGAGAAGCTGGTGCAATTCTGCTTTATTAAAAAAGACAGCACACTGGATGCTGCCAAAGAAATCATCATGGCATGGGACAGACAGATATCTTGATGTGTGCAGGTGCAGGTCCATCTTTAAAAGGACTTCCTAGTCGGTGCTGCCACCTGGTGGGCACTAAAAAGAATCCATGGCCTGGATCTGAGGCCACTCCAAGGTTTTAATTGCCTAAGGGCAGATACTGGACAGCAATGGTAGCAAAAGCTCCAAAGAAGAGCATGGCGCCCACTGGCAATAATTATGAGGCAAATGAACCACGGGAAATAGAAGTGGCAAGATGAGAAGATCCTTCTTTCTCTTTTCTGAGGGAGTCTAGATACTCTGGCTGGCCACAAATTTGTGCTCTTCTTTCCTGCACATGTGCCACTGCGCTTGGCTTAGAAGATTCTAAACCCTGAAGCCTGCCTGCAACCTGGCTGCTAAATAAACTCCTCCTGCCCCTAAAGTGAACACTAATATTAGGAATAAACCAATTTCTAAGTCCCCTCCCCCAAGGCTTCTATTGCACCGACTGACTGGGCATCTCACATCCAAAAACACCTGAAATATGAAATATAACTTCTGATTCCAAGAATAAGGAACATTTAGCCTGCAATTCGCACGTAATTAACAATGGAGGTCTTTTGTTGGCAGAGCTCCTAATGCTCTTCCCATTCACAAAGAGTAAACATCTGTAACAGTCCTCATCTCCCCATCTGAAACAGAAACTGAGGGGTCTAAATGGACGTCTGAGAACAAGCCTAGCAAAGCCCTGGCTCTGGAGACCCTGCCACGCCTCTGGGCTCTGAGTTCTGTGCCAACAAGTCACACTGTGCTGCCTTCATAAGACCCCAGAAAATTGCAGTGATCTTGATCTCACCTTGAAGTTCAAAGCATTTTTGTTTACTTGCTCTAGCTAGCTCCTGGGCTTCAATCAAGTCTTTGCGAAGATGCTGAATTTCTTGTTTGGCCTCAGTTTCTGACTGTGCACCCTGCAAGTCATCTGACAAAAACATGTTTATTTTTAAAAGCAAGTGTTAGTACTGCACTATAGTCTCTATAACTAAAGTCTGGCGCTCTTTTTCATGTTTAGACACACACAGCTAGTAACATGGCACAACTGAGTTAAATAAAACTTAGAAGCAAATTAGAGTAAGCATATTAGTTATTTTTACTTTGACCAACAGAGTTAACATGGATACTAGTCCTATAAAATACAGAAATTAACATACATTTTATGGACGTACAGCTCCTGTAAACTTGAAATTCAGTGAGACAAACATAACACTGTTTTTCCATCAATTTTCAAATTATTTATTATTACTATTGTTATTTTGTGTGTGTGTGTAACATGCATACCACAGTACATATGTAGAGGTCAAATACAATGTAAGGAAGTTGGGGTTTTTGCTTTACTGTGGTGGTCCCAGGAGTTGAATTCAGGTTATCAGACTTGGCAGCAAGTGCCTAATTTACCAGATGAACCCTCTGTCCAGCTTCTTCTCCATCAATTTTGAAGTTTAACAATAAGAGAAAAACTTTCCTTGGAACTTAAAAGTATGGAAATAAAATTTGGAAATGAAAATGGGAAAACAAAAGAAATTCTTCAAGACAGAGAAAACTACCAGGGCTCAGAGGGGAGAGGAAATGCCAAGCTGACCTATCCTATAGTTCTCTCCCACAGTTCTATCCTAGAGTCCCAAACCGCAGCAGGGTAGAGCAGACTTCCTAAGAGCTGTTGTCCTCTTAAACTCCATACATATCTCTTCCCATCCTACCCACATGAACAAATAAACTAAATTAAAAAAAAAAAAAATCAAACTTCTGGTTTGGGGTTTGCTTTTTCTTTTCTTTCTTTTTTTTAAGAGTGTGTGTGTGTGTGTGTGTGTGTGTGTGTGTGTGTGTGTGTAATTGTTTTGACATAGGGGCTCACTATGTTTTGCTGTCTACTCTAAACCTCAGTATGCAAACTAGGCTGGTATGAGTTTACCTGTCTCTGCTTCTCAAATGCCAGGATTAAAGGTATGCACCAGCAGCTGGGAAGTGGTGACACACACCTTTAATCCAGCATCCAGGAGGCAGAGGCAGGTGGCAGGCAGTTTAAAGCCAGCCTGGTCTACAGAGCAAGTTCCAGGACAGCCAGGGCTGCAATGTTACTTGTAGAATACAAAAAATAAATATGTGTGTGTGTGTGTGTGTGTGTGTGTGTGTGTGTGTGTGTGTTTGAGAGAGAGAGAGAGATAACATTTAAAGAAAAAGAAATCACTTGAGGTTGGCATAGTAAAAGCTGGAGGGAGGAAAGGGTAATAGAGAAACAATGTTATAGATTAACTTTTAAAAATTAAAAATACTGTGAATCATAAAAATGCAATAAAAACTAGACTGGATGCTCCAGTATACCTGATTTGTACCCACCATCACATAGACAGCAGGTAAACATACTTGCTGAATTATTAATTGATGTAACTTTAGCAATTTAACTAAAATAGACTTAACCCAGCATTACCAACTTCCCTAGCCTCTTCCCTTTCTCGTTACTCTGATACTCATCTTTTGCTGTACTAACACTTTGGTGGGATGGAAAGATGACTCAGCAGCTAAGAAAGCTTGCTAAGCAGCCACAGGGCTAGAGTTCAGAATCTAGCACACAGGTAACAAGCTGGGTGACTTAGAAATGCCTGAACTCACGTCCTTAGTCATCAGGGAAATGCAAAACAAAATGACCCTGAGATTTCACCTTACACCCATCAGAATGGCTAAGATCAAAAACTCAAGTGACAGCACATGCTGGAGAAGTTCTGGAGAAAGGGGAACATTCCTACACTGCTGGTAGAAATGTAACTTGTACAACCACTCTGGAAAGCAATCTGGCGCTCCTCAGACAACTAGGAATAGCGCTTTCTCAAGATCCAGCTATACCACTCCTAGGCATATACCCAAAAGAGGCTCAAGTACACAATAAGGACGTTTGCTCAATCATGTTTGTAGCAGCCTTAATTGTAATAGCCAGAAGCTGGAAACAGCCCAGATGCCCCTCAGTAGAGGAATGGATAAAGAAATTGTGGTACATTTACACAATGGACTCTTATTCAGCAATAAAAAACAAGGAAATCGTGGAATTTGCAGGTAAATGGTGGGATCTGGAAAAGATCATCCTGGCTGAGCTATCCCAGAAGCAAAAAGACACACACGGTATATACTCACTCATATAGACATATAATATAGGATAAACCTACTAAAATCTGTACACCTAAAGAAACTAATCAAGAGAGAGGACTCTTGCTAAAATGCTCAATTCCTATTCAGAAAGGTGAAGAGGATGAGCATCAGAAGAAGGAGAAAAGAGGGAACAAGTCAGGAGCCTGACACAGAGAACCTCTGAAAGGCTCTGCCCTGCAGACTATCAATGCAGATGCTGAGACTTATGGGCAACCTTTGGGCAGAGTGCAGGGAATCTTAGGAAAGAAGTGGGAAACAGTAAGATCTGGAGAGGACAGGAACTCCACAAGGAGAGCAACAGAACCAAAACATCTGAGCACAGGGGTCTTTCCTGAGACTGATACTCCAACCAAGGACTATGCATGGAGATAACCTAAGACCCCTGCACAGATGTAGCCTATGGCAGTTCAGTATCCAAGTGGGTTCCATTGTAATAGGAACAGGGACTGTCTCTGACATGAACTGATTGGCCTGCTCTTTAATTACCTACCCCTGAGGGGGAAGCAGCATTACCAGGCCACAGAAGAAGACAATGCAGCCACTCCTGATGAGACCTAATTGACTAGGGTCAGAAGGAAGGAAAAGAGGACCTCCCCTATCAGTGGACTTGGGGACGGGCATGCATGCAGAGGGTGGAGGGAGGGAAGGAATGGGACGGGAGGAGGGAGAGAACCACAGGGGTGATACAAAGTGAATAAAGTGTAATTAATAAAGAATTTTAAAAATTTTTAAAAAGCTTACACAGTGTTAAAAAAAAAAAAAAAAAAAAAGAAATGCCTGATCTTATATCTCCTGATCTTATATCTCCTACTGGCTTCTGAGTGTACACAGGCCTACATACACCTCTCCAAAGCATACACATATACAAATGAATGTACATGTGAATGGGTGGGCACACACACACACAAACATACATGCACACAATCAAACAATCTTTAAAAATATTTTGGCTATTAAACACTAACATCACCCTGTTAAGTCGTATCTTTCTATTGTATCTAGTTGTGTTTTGCATTCTTTTGTGTACACATGCTTAGGTATATTACACAGCAAGTTCTAGGTTAGCCTAGGCTATAGAGTGAGACCTTGTAGCAAAAAGAAATAAAATAAAGATTCTTACTACAATAGAAGGCAAGACAACAAATACGTAAGAAATGATACAGTTATAAAATCATTCTTTGACCCCCTACTGTAGCAGTAACTAATTGGGTGTAAATAATCAGCATTTACTAATACTTAAGTAGTAATAAGTGTGCAATTTAATGGAACATGTTTGTAGTCAGACATTTCTCCACAAGTAAATTAGTTATAAAAATAAAATTACTTTAAAAGTTACTTTGCAAGGAGAAACCTGGGAGACAACACCTTAAATAATCAAAGTTAATGTCACCAACAAAAGAACAATTCAATATCTGGTACTTTCTGACAAGAGCTCCAATATTTCTATAAAATATACACAGTTTAAATCTAGTCATGAGGAGACATTAGTCATCCAAACTGAGAGACATTTTAATTTTTTCACGCTGTTCAAAAGTGCTAATGTCATGAAACTCAAAGGAGACTGAAGAGACATGACAAAGGCAATGCATGGTTGTGCTATGACTCCTTTGACTCCTTTGTCATAGCACAAAGGAAAAGTGAGAATAAAGTCAGCAGGTTCAAGTACATTAACATATCAATGTTATTTAACATCTTGATTTTGAGAATGGTATAGTAGCCATATAGGAGGAGGTGGATATGTAGCAAGGTATTTAGGAATAAAGGTTATCATTTCTTCTATGGTGAAAGGAAAGAGACAGGGGAAAGAAGAGTATATGGGACTCAGTCATAATGCTGTAAGTTTTCTGTGGATCCAGGAATTGTGTCAAAGTAAAATAAAAGAACATGCTACATATATTTAAATACAAGAAATATAGTAGAATATTAACACATACTGAATCTAGGAAGTAAGCATATATAGGTACTTCTGGTTTTCTTCAACTTTTTCCAAATTCGTTTGGTTTTTTGTTTGTTTGTTTGTTTGTTTTGTTTTGTTTTCCAAGACAGAATTTCCCTGTATAGCCTTGGCTGTCCTGGAACTCACTCTGTAGAACAGGCTGGCCTCAAACTCACAAAGATCTGCCTGCCTCTGCCTCCTGAGTGGTGGGATTAAAGGCCTGCCCCATCACTGCTCAGCTGTTTACATTTTTTAATAATAATAATAATAATAAAAACTCTCCTAAAGTAGCCAATCCTAATACCACCATCTTAGGACAAGCCCAATCATTTCTGACTAAACTCCATCAACTTATCTTGCCCTTCTGTGTTTATCATTACAAGCACAGTAAGAATAAATGGATGTCTGCAACAGCTTTAAAAAAAGACAGTTTTGCTTTAGTGGATCTTCATAAATGAGGAATCTACCTCTAAAGTCTATACATGGGCAATTCTTATCCATAGCATGACACTTCCCTGGATAGGTCATGCTGTCAAGCAAAACTAACAGAGCGCTTCACTTTCACATGAGATAACAAAGAAGTTGGTTTTTATGCCAAGTAATCACATTTTAAAGGAGAACATATAATCAAAGCCATAATGAGCTGTGCTTACACAAGAGAGCATTATTTGCAAATTAGTTCTCTGAACCATATAAAAGACCAAATAAAACAAACAAACAAACAAACAAAAGGCATGTATCAGATCATACAAACTCTAGAGCATTTGGTCACAGAAATAGTACTATTACTGACTAAAATCTCTGCAAATTAAGTTTGGTGCAATAAACACAAATGACCACTTTCAAAC